ATTGTGTAACAGAGTGAAATCATTTTCACATTATGACGGTTCAGTAGTTGAATGCGCCAGTTCATGTGTTACTAGGTCTCACACACCAAAAATGAACCAGCTTTGAATCTCAGTTTATCCTTTCTTAGTTGATCTGCTCTTCTACCAAAGAAATTTTAATTTGCAGTTCTCTGGTTGAGGAACACTACAAACGTACAAGTCTTGTGTCGCTAATTAATACACAGAATGATCAGTGTCGGCAAAGTTTGCAAACAGTTTATCAGGATTCCCATCTGCCTATCGGTGGCATTTCTCAGCTCAGAAATTTCCAGAGTTGTGCATATGTGCAACAAGGGTTACTTCAATCAGCCTATTGCTCTGTTACAATGACTAACTGCTCAGTAACCTAGCAGCTGTTCTATTCACAGTCCTTAATGGATAGTTACTAAGATTTCTTTTTTCATCCTTTTAAGCTGCAGAGGCATAAAGCTCATGTCTAAAGGCACCTTGTTCCTATTCCACGGCGTAATATTTAATTCACATCTTGTCTGCAAATCTTGTGACATGGGGATAAAAATCTTATCTGGGGAGATTACTCTTCAATCCATCTCCTTTTCTGACTGCTCCCCTGTCTCAGCTTAGCTGCTGCTGAGTCGTTCATTCAGACCTTTATTACCTGTAGATTTAGCTGTTTCAATGTTCTCCCATCTGGCTGCTTACCTTCCTTCCTTAAAACCCCAAGGTCATCAAACCTCCACTGCCTGTGTCCTAATGCACACCAAGTTCTGTTTCCTCATCACTCCTGTCACCCTTTGGCTCTTGCTCCAGTAATGCCTCAATCCTTGTTTTCAATCACTAATGATGGCCTTGCCTTCAGTGACTTAAATTGCTTCTCTAAACCTCTCTTGTTCTCCATGCTTCTTCAAAGACCAATGTTAAAACCTCTCTCTTTGAAAAAGTTTAGGTCATCTACCCCAATATTTCCTCATGTCAGTCCAATGTCAAATTTTGGATATTAAAACCCTCCCTTTGGATCATTTTACTGAACTAAAGACTCTACAAAAATGCAAATTGTTTTGTTGGCTGGAATTTGGTAAATCCCAGCAATAAGTGTCGCATCCAGAATCCAGCTGCTTACAATGTCCAGAAGGTTTGACAGCATTGGTGGCAGCAACAACATAACTGCACAAATAAAGAGCTGGAATCAAACTCAATGAGACACGGGGCATTCAACAGTAGATTACATCTCAAAGGAGTATTACATCAGAAATTGTGTCCATCACACATATTAAGTTCTTTTTCATGGCTTAGCTGATTAAAGCAGTTAGTTTCTGAGTGATACAAACAACAAAGTCCAAGATCATAGGATGTGGAGCAAGAGCAGATTATTTGGCCCTTCTGGCCTGCTCCAAAATCCAATAAGAACTATGGTTGATGTGGTTGTGGCCTCAGCTCCACCTTCCTGTCTATACCCCATAACACACAATTCCCTTATCTATCAAAGATCTATGGAATTCAATTCAGCCTGAATGAAATTTACAAGACACAGCCTTCTGGGGAAGAGAAGTTTACATTCCAATGAGCCTTTGAGAGAAAGAAATTCTCCTCAGTTCTGTTAAAAGGGAGATATCTTATTCATAAACTATGTCCCTTACTTTAAGTCTCCCTGGCGAGAGGAAATGTCCTCCTGGTATCCTATCAAATCTCCTCAAGAGATTATATGTTTCAGTAAGATCACTTTGTATTCTTTTAAATTCAACAGAAACAGGTTTAACATACCCAATCTCTCTTCGCAAGATAAACCCCTCATCCCAGGGGAGAGAGTCAAGTGAACCCTCTTGGACCTGTTTCTAAAGCAATATCTTTTTCAAATAACCAAAACCACACACAATACTCCACAGGCTCACCAATGCCCTGTACAGCCGTGATAAAACCTCTTCACTTCTACATTCCATTCCTCTTGCGATAAAACAAAAGAGAATGTTCTATTTGCCTTCCTAAATATCTTGGTGTTCCTGCTTACTAACTTCATATGATTCATGTATCAGGACACCCCCAGATCACTATATATGACTGATTTCTGCAATCTCTTTCCATTTAAATAGAATACTGCTTTTGCTATTCTCCCTGCCAAAATGGAAAGTTTACCTTTACCCATATTATACTCCATCTGCTAACTCTTTTTGCCCTACCTCTAACCTATTGACATCTCTTTGCAAGCACTATCTCCTCTTGACAACTTACTTGCTCCCTGTGTGGATGAGGAACAGGGCTGCAGGGAGGATGAGCCAGCTGACCACTGCACCATGGCACAGGAGGCCATTCAAGAGGGGGGAGCAAAAAGACAGGTGGTAGCTGTAGGGGATTCTGTAATTTGGGGAATAGACAGTATCCTTTGTAAGCAGGATCAAGAGTCCCGCATGGTATGTAGCCTGCCTGGTGCCAGGGTAAGGGATATCTCTGACTGGCTGGAAAGGATATTGGAGAGGGAGGGGGAGGATCTAACTGTTGTGGTCCATGTTGGGACAAACAACATAGGCAAGGCTAGGAAGGAGGACCTGGTTGGAGATTATCAGGTACTAGGAACAAAATTAAGGAACAGGTCCTCAAGGATTATAATCTCCAGATTGCTACCCAAACCATGTGCAAATTGGCAGAGGGATAAGAAAGTTAGGGAATTAAAACACATAGCTAAAGGAGTGGTGTGGGAAAGATGAATTCTATTTCATGGAGCATTGGTATCAATTTTGGAACAGGAGGGATCTGTACTGTGGGGATGGTCTCCACCTGAACTGATCTGGAACCAGTGTTCTAGCGAAAAAGATAAATAAGATGGTCACTAGGACTTTAAACGAGTGAACTGGGGCAAAGGGAAGGGGAAAATGACAGGAAGTGTAATGGTAAATAGAAAAGAAAGCAGCAGGGTAACATGTGTGCAGGAGGGTTTAACTACATCGAAGAATATGAAAGAAATTAAAAGGAAGGAAAACACAGAAGATGTTATTAATGAGATGTTAGAATTCAAAAAGAAGGTACAAAAACTAGCATAAAGGCATTTTACCTAAATGCTCATCGCATTCGAAACAAGGTAGATGAGTTAACGGTGAATCATCGCGAATGAGTATGATTTAGTAGCCAGAGACATGGTTGCAGAATGGTCACGACTGGCAATTAAATATCTAGGGGTATCAGACTATTTGGAAGGACAGACAGGAAATTAAAGGGGTGGTGTACCCTCTGATATTTAAGGATGACATCAGGGCAACAGTAGGAGATAATATAAATTCTATGGAGAATAAGGTTAAATCCATTTGGGTGGAAATTAGAAATTCTAAGAAGAAAAAATCACTGATAGGCGTAGTCTATAGGGCAATAAACAAAGAAATAACCATTGCCTGTGAAAATTGTACAGCAATTATTATGGGGGATTTTAATCTACATGTCGATTGGTCGAACCAAGTCAGTCAAGGCAGCTTTGAGGAGGAGTTCTTTGAATGTATCAGCAATAGTTTTCTTGATGAGGGAGCAAGCTATCCTAGATAATGAGACAGGGATAATTAATGTTCTCATAGTTAGGGATCCTCTTGGAAGCAGCTATCACAGTATGGTTGAATTTAGAACACAGACGGAAAATGAGAAGATAAAATCCAATACCAGGGCCCT